AAAATAGCAAAAATTAACTTTTTTTTTTAAAAAAAAAAATGCATATATAATTCAACTTCTTCGTCTTTCCTCACTTCCCGTTTTCTCCCAAATCTTAATCCAGTTTTTCTTTTCTTTTTTTTTCCTTCCCATCACTTACTCTTTGTCTTCCGCAAATAACATTTAAGTTTTATCATTCCTGTAATTGAGAAGCTATTTTTAGGAATATTTCATTCATTCCTATTATTTTTCCCGAGGAAATCAATAATTAACGCAATGAAATATTGTTGACGATGAAACAAAAAAAAAAAAACTTTCAAAGCTCGATATTTTTTATGACATAATTATCAAATTTTTTTTCGTTTTTTTTTTTTGACAAGCAAAAATAATTTGCATCATTCATTATGAATTGAGAAATTTTTCTTCCGGAAAATCTCTTAATCCGAATTTTCAATCACATAGGGAACAGATTCCAGAAAATTGTGATTGAGTAAGTTTGGAATGATCGGAAAGAAAAAAAAAATTTTAAATGAATACATTTAAGATATTGGAAATTTTGTTAAATAAATTTCGCTTTATTCATGCTAATTTATAATAATTGTTTACAAATGAAAATTCTTGATTAGGAAAAAAAAAGAAAGCTTAAAATGATTCATTATTTAAAAAATCGTATATGTGATTAATGATAATGAAGAATAGTGTGGCATAGGATGTTGTTTATTATTTCTAAAAACAAACGATTCCGCTAAAATCAATGAATGATAACGAACGAACCCTTCTTGATAGGTCAAGAGCTGCAAATCTTAAAAGTGTCAATTACTATTCATGTCTCATACATTTCTTCCCGAATAATTCATTCTTTCTTTCTTTTTCCCGGTCACTAAAATTTCTATCTCAGTAATAATAAGAACAATTAATGATAGTGATAATAATAATGATAATGGTAACAGCAATAACAATGACAAAATTAACGATAATAAATAACAATTAGCAATGATGTAATAATGACGATAAAAATATGACAATAATGAAGGTTAGTGATGGTTATTTCCTGTTTGCTTATTTGTTTGTTTATTTCTTCCGTTTTTTTTCTTTTTTTTCCATCTATTTAATTTTTTATTTCTTAATTAGTTATTTCAGCAAATTACATGCACATTCCGGAAGAGTGTTAACTGTCGGATTATCTTTTCACTTCTTTCTTCCTTTTTTTTTTTTTTTTTGATTATTTAGATCTTCCTAGTGATAAGGAAACATTTGGGATGAATAGAAATTATGAAATGGAAACAGGTCAATTGAGATGAAAGATATGACCGGTTCAAAAAAAAAAACAATATCATTACTTGACAGAATAAATTGTAACAATAATTGTCTGCAATTTGTGAAACATGCAAAATGCAATCATTTTTGATGACAATTTCATTCGATATGATTTTAAGCTTGAACGAGATGTAAGAAACACGTGATGTATACGTAACTCATCAGGGACCGGAACGTAAGGAACACTTGATGGATACGTAACTCATCAGGTTAGGACTAATTGAGATATATGTATGAGAAAGTAGATGATTTATATAAATGGATATTTTCAAGTTAATTTTTATCCTTCTCTTTATCAGTTGTTCCTTTCAATTTCAGGCTTGAATACAGGTTGAAAGATGTAAAATGGAAAAATGTTATGATAAAATGAATAACATTGGAATGGAAAAAATTCTGCTTAAAAAAAAAAGGTTGATATATTGAAATTAAGAAAATAAAAAGTTGAAAAATTTAAAAAAAAAGAGGAAGGAAAGATCAGTAGGTTGATTGTATACTATGCCTGTTGAAGAAGGACAATTATGAGCCAGCCGGCTGGTAGACGGAGCACAAAAGTCACAAATGAAAAAGACAAAGGTGAGTTGAGAATGAATGATTAGTGACTCCGCAATGGGTGGAGTAATCGGGAGGAAGAAGGGAAAAGAGTCGGATCAGATTGGGTCAGGTTAGATTAGATTGAATGAAATGAATGGGTAAAGGAAGGCGGAGGATAAATTAGTTAGGAAAAGATAAAAGGAAAGGTTATGATAAGTTTTGCAATAGAAAAACTTGAAATGAGTGATGATAGCTTGTGACAATTATGATAAATATATCATAGTACCTGTTATAAGTTGTTTACTCTTATCATAGTTTTAAAATTAAATAACAAAGAATTATTGATGTAAAATTGTTCAAAATTAAGAAAACAAAAGAAAAAGATTGTCACATTAACTTTTTGTTTACCCAATTATTGTCTGGTAAATTCCTCTTAATTATTTGCTTACATTTGGCATATAGTTTAGAAGCAAAAAAAAAAAACAATTTTTCCATATTGTATAATCAATATGTTATAGAAAGAAGAAATTTTCAACAAATTATAAAATTCACTTAGGATATTTTGAAATAAATTTAAATTTAAATCATTTCCTTAATAACAATAACAATTAATATTAGTAATAGTTAATAATTGGTAATTAATAATTAATAATGGTAATAAAAATGCATAAAATATTTAATAAAATAAAACAAAAAAAGCGAACATAAAGATAATGCTGAAAATGTGTATGAAGTAATAGAATTTAATTAAACAAGAATAAAGAAGAGAATTGAAAATATGAATTTTATGAATGGAATAAATCCTACGACATTCATTTCCCGCTTTTCCCGCTTTCCCGCTTTTCCCTTTTCCATTCCTCTTAGTCCATCCCTATATATCTTCATCTTTTCCTCTTCCAAAATTAGCGGAAATTGAAAAGAAATCTATTAACGAATGTTGTCGTTCTTCTGGCTAATTCTTTCGGGTATTTAAATATGTCTGTCTGTCTATATATACATATATACATATATATGTATATATATATATATATATATATATATATATATATATATATATATATATATATATATATATATATATATATATATATATATATATATATATATATATA